GGTGCCCTACTACCAGATCCACGTCGAGAGCCCCCTGCCCGAGGCCTTCGTGCACGTCGGGTGGGCCCCGGTCAGATACGCCGTGGCCGTGGGCACCCTGTGCGCCCTGTCCTCCAGGTCGGTGCGGAGCTCCTCTCCTGGCCCTGGGGGCTGCGCCGCGGCCCTCCGCGGCCCCTCACGTCCATCTCCTCCCCTCCAGCCTCCTGGGCGCCATGTTCCCCATGCCGCGGGTCATCTACGCCATGGCGGAGGACGGGCTGCTTTTCCGCAGTCTGGCCAGGATCCACCCGCGCACGCGCATGCCCGCGCTGGCCACGGCCGTGTCTGGAGTGGTCGCAGGTGAGGGCCTGCAAGCCTGGCCGGCGCGCTGCCTCCCGGCTCCTCCCCGCCGGCCCTCATGTTCTTGTGTTTTTGTCCCCACGCCAGCGGTCATGGCGTTCCTGTTCGAGCTTGGCGATCTTGTGGACCTCACGTCCATTGGGACCCTGCTGTCCTACTCCTTGGTGGCCTTCTCTGTTCTTGTCCTCAGGTGAGACTCCACCAGGGGGCCGGGAGAGAGGGAGGGAGGGAGAGAGAGAGAGAGATCTCTTCCATCCACTGGTTCACTCCCCAAATGGCTGCAACCACTTGGCTGGACCAGGCCAAAGCCAGGCACCAGGAGCTTCTTCCGGGTCTCCCACGTGAGCGGCAGGGGCTCAAGCACTTGGGCCTTCCTCTGTGGCTTTCCCAAGTGCATTCGCAGGGAGCGGGACCGGAAGTGGAGCAGCCGGGACTCGAACTAGCATGCCCACACTACAGGCGCAGGCTTAGCCTTTTATGCCACAACACTGGCCCCGTGGGTCTCCCCCCGGGGCCATTGACTGCTGCCTTCCCAGGCGCATTAGCAGGGAGCGGTATGGGAAGCAGAGCAGCCAGGACTCTGACTGGTTCTCGAGGGATGCAGGTGCGCCACGAAGCTGGCCCCTCAGTATCAGAATACCTCCCATTCAGGTACCAACCAGACCAGAATATACGCGAGAGTGAGAAGACAGGCGGGCAAGAGCTTGAGATGAAGCCTGGCCAGCCAGAAGCACTGGCCCCGGAGGGCACCTCTGACGCAGGCTCCTCGAAGACTCTCAGTAGTCAGTGTAGCCCCGGAGACCCTGGCCCCAGCCTGAAGTCTGGCCAGGCCGTCTATGGCTGTGCCTCAGTGCTTGGTGAGCGGTGGGGAGGGGGTGTGTGTGTGTGTCTCCGGGGTGCCCCGTGCCGGACACGGTCAGGGCTGGGGAGGGATGCTGGGGAGAGGGCCCTTCTGGGAGCGGGCCATTGCGGGAGTGGAATTGGCCCGAGCCCCCGGCGTGGCCCTTGCAGTTCTCCTCCTAGCTGCCTTCAGCCTGATGCTGGCCCAGTGGCCTGGGCGCTTGTTCTCTGGAGACCCCGTTTGCACCTCTGTGGCTGTGCTGCTGCTGCTGCTGGTTTTGGGGCTCACTCTCGTTGTCTGGAGACAGCCCCAGAATGCCACCCCTCTCTACTTCAAGGTGAGTGATCCCGTGCTCCTCCACAACCCAGCCTGAGTCACCGAACTCTGCCTACCTTGGTCCAAAACTCACCCGGCCCAGGAAGGCGGAGCTGGGCTGCTAAGATCAGGGCCCATTCCCTGAATTCCCCGCCCCATGCGATGCCCTGTGGCTAAGCCCATTGCCCATCTCTCTGGGATGTCCTGTGACCTGGGTTCACTCCAGCCCTGGGTGCTGCAGGCAACTGGGGCGCGTGGGACATCTATCTCTGTCTCTTGCCGTCTGTCACTGTGCCTTTTACACCAGTGAATACAAATTAAAAATGGAAAACAGCTGAGAATACATTTTAATAATATAAAGATTCATGCATTGTGAAAGGCAGAGTTGGGGAGAGAGATACCTTCCATCTGCTAGTTTATTCCCAAATGGTCACAACAGTTAGGGGTGGGCCGGACTGAAGCCGGTAGCCTGGAACTCCATCCAGCTTGCCCACCGGGGCGTCAGAAGCCCAAGTACTTGGGCCAACTTTTGCTGCTGCTTTCCCAGGTGCCCCAGCAGGGAGCTGGATAGGAAGTGGAGCAGCTGGGACTCAAACCAGCACCTGAATGGGCTGTTGGCGATGTGGGCATGTGGGTGGCAGCTTCACCTGCTGTGCCACAGTGCCACCCCCTCTGGTAATTAAACCAAGTACATCCACCAGATTAGCGTTTAGTCTGCATGACAGAACCGGTCGAGGGGAGGGATTATTTACATAATTAATGTTGTGCACGGGCTCCCGTCTGCCCGCAGGCGCCTGCCCTGCCCGTCCTCCCGCTGGTGAGCATCTTTGTGAACCTCTACCTGATGATGCAGATGGCCGGCAGGACCTGGGCCCAGTTTGCAGTCTGGATGGCGATTGGTGAGTGGCTGTCCGGAGAAAAGAGGCCTCTTGGGTGCCTCTTCCCGCCACCTCTCCGTGACAGGCTGAGACGATAGGTCCCCTTGGGCCTCGTCGGAGGAGAGACCCCTGCCTTGCTCCCACCTCACCGACTCATTTCCCCGCTAGGATTTGCCATCTATTTTGGATATGGGATCCGACACAGCTTGGAGGAGAAGAATGATCGGCAGCCGCCAGACTCCAGCCCCCAGGCTCCGGGCGAAAGCTCTCCTGATACTGAGGTCGTTTGAGCCAAGAAGCGGGATCCCGGGCCGGCGGCTCTGGGCGGTCTGTGAGCAGAGTGTGTTTACTTTTTTTTATTTTTCAGAGACTAACTTATTTTTTTAAGTTGACAAATAAAAATCTATATTTATGATGTCCAGCGTGATATTTTGATGTGTGCATGCACCCTGGACGGCACAGGTGCTGAGAATACAGGAAGCCGACTGCGGCTTTGCTGGAGACTTTGATGAGGTGCCGCGGTGGAGAAGAGTCCCTCCATGCCGGTTTGTTTCTCAGACGTCATCCAACCCGAGGGTCAGCGGCTCAGATTGCAGTGGGCTCTGCCGCCACAGACCCAGTCGCTGCAGGTTGGAGAAGTGTGGAGAAAGGGCACTGCTGGCCGGCACAGCGGCTCACTGGCTAATCCTCTGCCTGTGGCGCCGGCACCCTAGGTTCTAGTCCCGGTCGGGGTGCCGGATTCTGTCCCAGTTGCTCCTCTTCCAGTCCAGCTCTCTGCTGTGGCCCGGGAGTGCAGTGGAGGATGGCCCCAGTGCTTGGGCCCTGCACCTGCATGGGAGACCAGGAAGAAGCACCTGGCTCCTGGCTTTGGATTGATGCAGCACGCTGGCCGTAGCAGCCATTTGGGGGGGGGGGGGTGAACCAATGGAAGGAAGATCTTTCTGTCTCTAACTCTGCCTGTCAAAAAATAAATAAATAAATAAATAAATAGGCACTGCTTCTGTGGTGACAGCAGCGCCACAGCTGGTGTCCCAGCGCGTGGAGGCAATGCCGAGTGCGGAAGAAGATGCACCTAGGCTGTGTGCAGACACGCTCACTTACAGGTGGCCTTAAGTGGCCATGCATTTTGGTATCTTGCAGGGGGCTCTGGACACCCCCCGACCCCGCTCCCTATAGATATCCTGGGATAACTGCATATGTGGCATCAAATAGGGTTAGGCTGCCACTTGCAAAGCCAGCGTCCCATACTGGAGTCTCAGCTACTCCACTTCTGACCCTGCTGATGTACCTGGGAAAGCAGTAGGAGGTGGCCCACGTGCTTGGACCCCCTCCACCCATGTCGGAGACTTGGATGGAGTGCCGGGCCCCCGGCTTTGGTCTGAACCAGCCTCAGCCATTGTCATTTGGGGAATCAGCAGTTGGAAAAACAAAACCCCAGGCCCCGTGCTTTGGTTTTCTGGGCTGGCTCTGGCTTGGGAGATGGTCGTTGGTGAGACCTCGTCTGTCAGATCTGTGCAGGTGCCTGAGACACCCGCTTTTCTCACCGCAGCTGCACTGCACACTCTGAGGGGGTCCTGTTGAGGTCAGGCTCTCTGTCTCAGCACCCAAGCCCCTCACAAAAGCAGTCAGAACCCCAGGCCGTGTCCTCAGGTTTTGAGCAGCCCCGGGCACCTGAGGCAGAAGCCAGTGAGGCCTCGGGGCCTTTTGTGGTCACCACCCACAGTAACCCCTTAGGCTACTGTGGGTTAGGGTTTTGCTGTTTGAATTTCTCACATTTCCTCCAGGCAGTGGGCGCTGTCCACCCCGGCTGGGCTGTGTTCACCTGAGGCCTCTGGACAAGGCCTGCTTCTCAGGGCCCTTGCTCCCTCCCATCACCCATTTCCCACCTCACCCTCCATCCCTGCCCGCCCCACCCGTCTCCCAGGTTCGTGCACAAAGCCTGGAAGGGCAGTGCCTACCTGCTGTGGTTCCCATGTGTCCCCTGAGGTATGTGTTGGAAGCCTGGTCCCCACTGTGATGAGATGGCAGGGCCTGGTGCTGGGTCACTGCCCTGGGATCCATGTAGCTCTCGTGGGGACTTTAAGAGGGCCTTCTCTGCCACACGCACCCCTCCTCCATGCCATCTGCATTATGACCTCACCGGCATGGGTGGCACCCTTGGGCCACCAGAGCTGTAGTACCCAGCCCGGGTATCATCTTGGTAAAACAAACCGAGATGGGGTGGTGGCTCCGGGGCTCCTCTGGAGAACGCTGGCACTGTGCCCACAGAATGGGTCACCACGCCCGTGAGGACGACTGCTGAAGGGCCCCAAAGCCCAGGGCACAAAGACGCTCAGCTCTGAAAGTTGCATCGGGCACCACCCCCGCCCCACCCAAAAACGCTCCCTATTGGATCCACATCCTCAGCCAGACATGAAGGCTTAGGACCCACCCGACGTGACCATACCCCGAGGTCCCTCGCGGCCCTTTGCTGACCTCCCATGACAGTCCCCATGGAAAGGCTCTCTGGCCACTGCTTCAGCCCTGCCCCCTCCCCCAGCTCCTGAGCCCCAGCTTTCCCTCAGGAGGCTACACAAGGCCTGGGCCCCTGACCCCCAATTCCATGCAAAGTCTACTCAGGCCCCTGCTCACTTGTGATTTTAAAAGCTTCTTTATTAATATCTTTAATAGACAAATATAAATGTATTACATTTATCAAGTACAAGGAGGTATTTTAACACACGCATACAACGCGGGACGCTCGAGTGAAGTCAATGAACATACCCGTCACCTCGCTCGCTTTGTGTTCTGTCGAGACATTCGACTTCCCTTTCTAAGCTACTGCGACTTTACCTTTGGCCATTCTAGTGACTGCCTAGCGACGTCACACTGGTTCTGCTTTGTTCTCTCACTTGCTCGCTGGTCACTTGGTGATCTCTGCCAAGTGCCTAATCTTCCATTCACGGATTCATTAACGTTTATTTTCTATGTGAGTCCTTCGTCAGGTACATGTAGAATATCTTCTCCAAGTCTGCTTCCTGCCTTTCCCCTGTCTTAATGGTGTCACCCGATGAACCCAGGTTTTCATCATGTTTGGGTTCTTCTGTGTACCAAGAAACTGTCTAACCCAAGGTTGTGGTACAGGAATCTACCTTTTCTTCTAGAGGTCTGACCTTCCCTAAACTCGCTGCACCCATTGGGGCCACGGGTGTCTTGTAATACCTCACTAGTGTCAACACTAATGGTGATGAGCAAGAGAACAGGTAATGTGAACGGAACTTACACAATACTCCGGATGGACTTTCGAGAAGTGTACCGAACATTTAGTTTAACATGTAATTTCTACATGTACCAAACATTTAATTTCCACGAGGGCAGTCTTAAGCAGAAGTGATCATCCCTATGTACAAACAATGCACATAACGTACATTCCACAAATACAGATGCTTCCGAATTACGATGGTTCAACTTACGATTTTTCAGCTTTACGATGGTACAAGTTCTACCCACACAGCCACTGAGTTTTCAACTTTACGATGCTGCAGAAGCGTACCTGTAAAACCACTGATATTTCAACTTTACGATGCTGCGACAGCAGATCCTATAACCACTTAGTTCACGGTGCTGCAAAAGCGTATCCTATAATCACTGAGTTTTCAACTTCACGACAGTGCAGAAGTGTTTCTGTGCAACCACTGCTTTTTCAACTTTACGATGCTGCGAAAGCGGGCCCTACAACCACTGAGTTTACTTTACGATGCTGCAGAAGCGGGCCCTACAACAACTGAGTTTACTTTACGATGCTGCAGAAGCGGGCCCTACAACCACTGAGTTTACTTTACGATGCTGCAGAAGCGGATCCTACAACCACTGAGTTTACTTTACGATGCTGCGAAGGCGGGCCCTACAACCACTGAGTTTACTTTACAGTGCTGCGAAGGCGGGCCCTACAACCACTGAGTTTACTTTACAGTGCTGCGAAAGCGGGCCCTACAACCACTGAGTTTACTTTACGATGCTGCGAAAGCTGACCTACACAACCACTGGTTTTCAACTTCGCGATGCTGTAAAAGCAGATCCTACAACCACTGAGTTTTCAATTTTACGGGCTGCAAAAGCTGACCTACACAACCACTGGTTTTCAACTTTGCGATGCTGCAAAAGCAAATCCTATAACCACTGAGTTTTCAATTTTACGGGCTGCAAAAGCTGACCTACACAACCACTGGTTTTCAACTTTACGAGCTGCAAAAGCGTACCTGTACAACCACTGACTTGCACTTGTAGTGCAGTATTCAATAAATTACACAAGATACTCAAAATTTTTTATCGAATAGACTTTGTATTCGATGATTCTGCCCAACTTAGGCTGGTGTTAAACGGTTAGGTCAGGCCAGGCTGAGCTGTGTTGCTTGGTAGGTTAGGTGTATTAGACGTTATTTCTGAATTTTTATATTTTTATCTTACGATGGGTTTTTCAGGACAAAACCCATCATCAGGTGCCGAGGAACATCTGTAACGCACAGGGTGACAAGCGGTCTGCTGAGTGTCTCACGGGGGCAGAGGTGGGCCAGGGGTGATGACTGGCAGGGCATGGGCCACGACTGAAGGCTTTCCTGGTGAGAACGGCCGCAGGGTTACTCCCAGAGCGAGCCTGAGGTGTGATAAGGATGGAATGGTAGCGGTAGGCTTGTGTGTGCTCAGTAAGCCAACTGCCCAGTGTAACATCTACACTGGGTATGCTCTGAGTATTAAGAAAAGTGATCTCTCCTCTCCCAGTCTGCCTCTAGTACGACTTCTGATGTTTTGTAAGCAGACATGACAATGACCAGTGAAGGCAAATGATGACATAACGTGAAATGACACCATGAGTCCTCCTCGTGCAGAGGAAGGAGTGAATGTGCTATAGAGGCTTCTGGACGCTCTGCGTATTCAAAGGCTTTTCAACTGCTGTGAGTTCTCTGGTGTTCTCTAAGAAGGCTTATGTGATTAAATACCTCCCCACACGCCTTGCAAGTGTAAGATTTTGCAGCGTGAGTTTTCTGGTGCTGTGTGAGCTGATGGCCATGACTAAAGGCCTTTCCACATTCTTTGCATTCATAGGGCTTCTCCCCTGTGTGAATTCTCTCATGTTTAACCAGGCTCGACCCATAAATGAAGGCCTTCCCACACTCCTTACACTTGTAGGGCGTTTCCCCAGTGTGGATTCTCTCGTGCTGCGTGAGGTGGTAGCCACAGTTGAAGCCCTTCCCGCACTCGGCACACCTGTACGGCTTCTCGCCGGTGTGGATCCGCTCGTGCTTCACGAGGCTGGAGCCCCAGCGGAAGGCCTTCCCGCACTCCTTGCACTCATGCGGCTTCTCGCCCGTGTGGATCTTCTGGTGCTGAGTGAGGTAATTAACTCGCGTGAAGGCCTTGCCGCACTCCTGACACTCGTAGGGCTTCTCGCCGGTGTGGACCCGCTTATGCTGGATGAGGCTGGAACCACAGATGAAGGCCTTCCCACAGTCTTTGCACTCGTAGGGCTTCTCGCCGCTGTGGATCCGCTTATGCTGGATGAGCTTGTACACGCGGCTGAAGGTCTTCCCGCAGTCTTTGCACTCGTAGTCCTTCTCCCCCGTGTGAAACCTCTGGTGCTGCGTGAGCTCATCCCCACGCCGGAAGGCCTTGCCGCAGTCCTTGCACTCGTAGGGCTTCTCGCCCGTGTGGATCCTCTTGTGAATGACGAGGCTGGAGCCCCAGCGAAAGGCCTTGCCGCAGTCCTTGCACTCGTAGGGCTTCTCGCCCGTGTGGATCTTCTGGTGCTGAGTGAGCTGGTTGCCCCAGCGAAAGGCCTTCTTGCAGTCCTTGCACTCGTAGGGCTTCTCGCCAGTGTGGATTTTCTGGTGCTGAGTGAGCTGGTAGCTGCGGCTGAAGGCCTTCCCACACTCCTTGCACGCGTAGGAGCTCTCCCTCTGGCGCGGCCTCTGGCGCGGCTGAGGCTCCGTGCCCTCCGCGCTGGCCGGCCGCTTCTTGTGGCCCATGCTCCCCGGATGGATGTCTCGCTCTCGAGAGACCCGTGGTAATTTAGGTACCGCTTTAGGGCCGAAGGATTTCGTTTTTATGCCTGAATTCACTTTGGGAAAATTTATTTCGTAAACAGTATTGTCAATGGTTAAACTCTTTGTCTCGTATGTTGACTCTAGATCTGAAAAAGAAACAAACATTTTTGTTTCCTTTAAAAGAAAAAGAAAAACAAACATAAGCACAAGCCAAATGCTTCTCTAGTAGCAACACAAAGCCTCTGCCGCAATGAACCAGGAGCCCCCGGGGCTTGTGGTAAAGCTGTGGACTCCACTCACGGCCCCACACGGTCAATGAAGACACGCCGGAGGCACTCCTGCAGAGGCACCAGGAAAGCGCACGCCTCGTCCCGCCACTGTCCACTGGGCAGGCCTCAGAGACCTGTGCATTCTGGAGATATCACATACTGGGAAACCCCAGAAAGTCAAATACAAAACTACTGTAAACAGTAAGGACGCACAGCTGGCTAACTGTATAAAGTTCTCACTCACGAGGAGGCATGAACCCCTGTTGTTAGCAGTGGCACGGTGGGGGGTAGGGGGTGGGGGGTGGGGGGTGGGGGGTGCGGGAGAGGACGCAGTGTTGGCTGAAATCAGCCAGCACTGCCTGTTCTCGTGCTTATGTGGAAGACCACAGCCGACTTCACGGAAGCAGAAGGTAGAGCAGTGGTTACCGGACACCAGCAAGGGCGGTGGCTGGTGCTGTGGCTCCGTGGGTTAAACTGCTGCAGGCATCCCATATGGGTGCTGGTTTGAGTCCTAGCTGCTCTACTTCCCATCCAGCTCCCTGCTAACGCACTGGGGAAAACAGTGAAAGATGGCCCCAGTCTTTGGGCTCCTGTACAGATATGGGAGACCCTGGCTGATTGGACATCTCTCTTTCTGCCTCTCCCTCTCTCTCTCTAACTCTGCCTTTCAAATAAATAAATCTTATTGGGGGCGGGGGACAGCGCCATGATACAGTGGGTTAATCCTCCGCCTGTGGTGCCGGCATCCCATATGGGCACCGGTTCTAGTCCCAGCTACTCCTTTTTCAATCCAGCTCTCTGCTATGGCCTGGGAAAGCAGTAGAAGATGGCCCAAGTCCTTGGGTCCCTGCACCCATGTGGGAGACCCGGAAGAAGCTCCTGGCTTCAGACTGGCACAGCTCTGGCTGTTGTGGCCATTTGGGCAGTGGACAGAAGACCTCTCTCTGTCTCTTCTGCTCATTGTCTGTAACTCTACTTCACAAATAAATAAATAAAATATATAAAAAAAAAGGGTGGTGGTGGGCGAGGGGCAGAGTGAGGCTGGCTAACGGATTCCCATGTTGAAGCTACACGGGAGGAGAGGCAGCCTCTAGTGTGTACAGCACAACAGGATGACCAAGGCTCACAAGTCATGACTGGATTTCAAACAGCTGCAAGAGAGGCTGTTTAGTGTCCACATAACAAAGAGGACAACCCAATTTAATCATCATACACATACATGCATCCAATATTGTACTGTACCCCATAATATGTAGCATTACAGTGTGTCCTTATAAATGAAATTAGCAAAGAAGACACTATTCTGAAATTGACATGAGAGTACTTGGAAAAGTCGGGGTTAGGGCTGGTGCTGTGGCACAGCAGGTTAAGCTGCTGCCTCTAATGGCATCCTGTATGGGTTCCGGTTTGAGTTCTGGCTGCTCCACCTCTTTAATATTTTTTTTAAGGATTTATTTGAAAGGCAGAGTTTCAGAAAGCGAGAAGGACAGACAGAGAGATCTCTTCCATCCGCTGGTTAACTCCCCAGTTGGCTGCAATGGCTGCAGCTTGGCTGGTCTGAAGCCAGGAACTAGGAGCTTCTTCCGGGTCTCCCACGCAGGTCCAAGGGCCCAAGGACTTGAGCCATCGTCTACTGCTTTCCCACCACATGAACAGAGACCTGGACTGGAAGTGGAGCAGCTGGGACTTGAACTGGTGCCCACATAGGACGGTGTGGCAGGTGGCAGCCTTACCCATTATGTTACAACGCTGGCCCCTGCCACCCCCAAGGGAGACCCGGATGGAGCTCCAGGCTCCTGGTTTTGGCCTGGCCCACCCCTGGCCGTTATGGCCATTTGGGGAGTGCCCCTGAGTCTCTCCTAACTCTGCCTTTCAGAAAAAAAAAAATCTTAAAAAAAAAAAGAGTATGGGTTTATTTATTTTCATTTATTTGAAAGGCAGAGAGACACGCACAAAGAGAAAGAGAGGGAGAATGAGAATCTCTCACTCACTAGTTCACTCTTCAAATGTGTGCTTTGGCCCAGTTCAGCCCTGGCTGTCACGGGCATCTGGGGAGTGAAGCAGCAGCTGGGAGATCTCTGTCTCCCAAAAACAAACAAATAAATAGAAATCTATCAAGGAACATGGCAGATAAATGAAGAAGCAACAGAGCCCTACCACGGCAGACCCCCTGGGAAGGATGCGTGGACAGCATAGAGGAGCCACAGCCAGGCACGGTGCCTTCGGAGGGAAGCACACACACACCCAGGCAGCCAAACGCAGAACGCCGCAGACCACAGAAAAGGAAAAAGCCCTGACAGCGAGGGCTGCCGCCGCCTCCCAGGAGCCACAGAGGGCAGGGGCTTGGTCATCTCTACCTCCACCGCTCCAGCCTGGCCCGACAGCAGCGGCAGCGTCAGCAGCGCTGGCTCAGGAGACAGAACACAGTGCGAGACCAACGGGGCACAGCCCACGGCACGGGGACGCCAGGGGGCCCGAGCCTCTGCAGGGAGCCTGCCACCCCCGCCCCCGTTCTTCTTGCCTGTCCCCCAGTCACCAAGGCTCGCCCCGCCCCAGAAGCCCCGGCGGCTTGGAAACAAACAGCCTGTTTTCAGAAGCGCACAGCGAAGGGGTCCCGGGGACAGGACTCACTCAGGGCCACCAGGTTGCTGTAGTTCTCCAGCATCACATCCCAGTACAGGTCCCTCTGGGCGGACGTCAGGCAGGCCCACTCCTCCTGGGAGAAGTCGATGGCCACATCCGAGAACGTCACGGAGCCCTGCAAAGGCGACGGCGTCAGGAGGGGGAGGGGACGGCAGGCAGGGAGCTCCCAGCTGGGTCTGCGGCACGGCCCCCAGAGCGCAGCACCGGCGGGCCCTGCAGTCAAGGGGCCCTCACCTGTGCGCCGCGGGGCTCGCCATCACTCAGACCTGTCAGCGACCCGCACAGCGCAGTGGCAGTGCGAGCTGCCTCCTCCTGCAGGCGCAGGGTCTGCGAGCCCTGCCTGCCTCCTGCCTCCTCCTGCCTCCCCAGAAGGTGGGGCTTCTAGCGCAGCCTCTGAGTATTTTTTTCTTAAAGGGAAAAGAAAGCAATCCTGAGATTGCAGCTGGGGACCCGCCCCTGAGGTTTCTCTGCTTCTTGGGGTAAAGATGGCACACATAAAGGTTCATGCAAAATAGAATTCAAAGCTAACTTGATTGTGGCACAAAGCGATTCTAGAATCCATGCCTGGCTTCCCACTAAGGCCACTTTTCTGGGCCTCTTGAGTACACTTTCTGGGTGCACTGGCCGCTTCTCCCCAGGACCAGTCTGTGCCCGCCGCCTCCTCCACTCCCACCGCACCCTGGCTCCTGAGTTAGAGGACAGCGGGAAATGATTCGGGATCACGTGGGGTAAAGCTGCCGCCTGCCACGCCAGCAGCCTGTATGGGCGCTGGTTTGTGTCCCGAGTGCTCCACTTCTGATCCAGCTCCCTGTTAATGGCCTGGGAAAGCAACATAAAATGGGGTCTTGCACCAGCGTGGGAGACCCAGACGAAGTTCCTGGCTTCAGCCTGGTCCCGCCCTGGCCATGCTGGCCGTCTAGGGGTGGACCTGTGGACGGAAGCTTTGACTTTCAAATAAATAAATCTTGGGAAAAAGGAAAAGATTGAGAATCAGGGCAGTGCCCAGTCGATGATGACAAAATGTACCCCTCAGCCCCTCTCCCTGGCCCTGATTACAGCGCTGTCTGGTTCTAGAGCCTTCTAACTCCTCCTACAGCCCCGCACAGAGACCAGCGCTCCTGTACACTCCCCCTCCACCCCGACAACAGGCCGGGGGAGAACGCGTGGCCGGCCCCTCCCCCAAGGAGCTGGGCTCCTCCACTGCTTCCACGTCACTCCTGAATCAGGCACTCAATAACGAAGCCGGCATCAGGCAGGACGGCAGATGCCAGGCCGGGTGGGGTCACTGCTCACTGGACAGGGGCACCTGTGGGTCCGCCATCAGACGGGGCCTACAACCTCCGCAAGCCGAGAAGGAAGAAGGGCGCACTTACGTGAGCCGCGCTCTCAGATGTCGAGGCGTGGCTGGCCATCTCGCAGTTCCTTCCACAGACACGCGGGCTCCGAGGGTCAGACCTGGGAGTGGGGAAAGAGCCATTCGGACCAGGTGCGCTCCGGGTCCCCGAGGTGACCTCCCAGCCCCTCCCCTCCATCTGTGCTTCCCAACACACACACACACACGAACGCAACCTGGGAAAGAGGAAGAAGGTTCTGGATGAAACCCCAGGACACCACTGCGCAGAGCCGAGCAGAGCAGCGTTTCTATTTTTTTTTTTTTTTGCCTGGGAGACAAACCCAGGCGCTGAAGCAGGAAGGTTCTTTACTGGGAGAGAGGGGACAGGGTGTAGGAAAGATTCTGCCTTTGACCCGAGAGAGAGGGCTGGTCTCTGCCTTGGGTTCTGAGGGGCCACCCGGGTCGTACCTGACAGGAATGCTTTTGTTCTGGTGGGAACGACCTCGCCGGGAAGACCAATCCGGTGACTCAGGGCGGGGGCTTCGGGTCGCCCGGTGCCGGCCAACCTGCAGACTGAGAATGACAGAGTCAGTCAACCATGCCTACGTGCTGAAGCCCTGTAAGGAGCCTGGGCACCGAGGCTTGGTCCCCAGGTGGCCACAGGCAGTGCCTGCTGTCACACAAGCACACCAGCAGGTAACCTGCCAAGTCCCCGGGGCAGGGCTCATGTGTGTGCCTCTCGTGTGGCTAAGGCCACTGGGCGCCTTCCCCCTGTAGGCCCTGAGTCTGACGGCCCCCGGCTGAGAGTGCTTGTGGCAGACTGCTGCACCCACACCCGCAGCTGGCACTGGGGGTGAGGTGGTGTGTGTGGAGGCTGTGCCCCTGGACCACCTGGGTCGGCTGACTCTGGCGGGGCGGGGGAGGACTATGATCAAACTCAGAGGATCCGTTCTGTCACACACAGCTTGCATTCAGAACTGTCTGCTCGAGCCCTGACATCAGCGGGTGTCCCAGAAGGATGTCCCTCCCAGCACCCCTGGGGTGGTAACTGCTTCTGTGAGCGACCCCCTGCTGGAACACAGTGTGGTGCTGGTCACTCTCTCCCTCCCAGCACCACCGCCGCAGGGGCTGGTGAACTGCAGGCACTTCCGAAGCCCGAGATCCACTCAGTGTCCACTTCTGGAAAACAGTCAGAAGGAAGCGTCTGCAGTAGTTTAGAAATGTGTGCCAGGGCACCTGCCACTGCCTGGATGCTAACTGCCGCAACCCCCTGATGTCACCCAGTGCCTCGTCAGAAATGAGGACATCTGGGACAGACATTTCTCGGTGTACAGATACATGACAGTCTGTTATGTAATGGTGTAAGACAGATTCACTAATCATGACACTGACACTGATGACGGGGGCCGGCGCTGTGGCACAGCGAGTTAAAGTCCCGGGCTGCAGTGCCGGCATCCCACATGAGCACCGGTTTGAGTCCCGGATGCTCCACTTCCAATCCAGCTCCCTGCTAATGCACCTGAGACAGCAGTGGGAGATGGCCCAAGTCCTTGGGCCCCTGCACCCACATGGGAGACCTGGAGGAGGCTCCTGGCTCCTGGCTTCGGATCAGCTCAGCTCCAGCCGTTTTGGCCATTTGGGCAGTGAACCAGTAGATAGAAGACCTCTCTCCTCTTTGTCTCTTTTTCTCTGACTTTCTAAAAAATAAATCTTAAAAAAAGGAGCAAAGAGTGTTGACGTTAAAAAGTGAATTACCAAGTGAAGAAGGTAGGTCTATGGAATGACAGGTAATTTGGGCAGAGGTGTTTTGGTGAAATTGAGAATACAAGCTCTGAGGACATCATACTGAGTGAAATAAGACGGGCACAGAAAGACAGATCCTGCAGGTTCTCCCTTATGTGTAGGAGCTACATTAAAAAAATAAAAACACACACAAAAAAGATGTGCCTGTGGGTGTCGTCTTTGCTGCAGATATAGTGTTTTCTCAAACGCTGTTTTAAATCTTTGTCAAACAAATCATTAAGAACAATACGCTGGGGCCGGTGCTGTGGCATAGCAGGTTAAGCCACCGCCTGCAATGCCAGCATCCTAAATGGGTGCTGGTTTGATCCCGGCTGCTCTATTTCTTATCCAGCTCCCTGCTAATGCACCTGGGAAAGCTGGAGGATGGCTCGAGTGTTTGGACCCCTGCACCCACGTGGGAGACCCAGAAGCAGCTCTTGGCTTTGGATCAGCCCCGTTCCGGCAGTTGTGGCCATTTGGAGAGTGAACAGTGGATGGAACACCGCTCTTTACTCCGCCTTTCAAATCAATCAATCAGTAAAATGTTAAAGAAAGATATGCCACTAGAGTTTTAATGATGTGTAAATCTGTAAAATCTATACACGAGTGAAAACATCTAGCCGGCGCCGTGGCTCCATAGGCTAATCCTCTGCCTTGTGGCACCAGCACACCGGGTTCTAGTCCCGGTCGGGGCGCCGGATTCTGTCCCGGTTGCCCCTCTTCCAGGCCAGCTCTCTGCTGTGGCCCGGGAGTGCAGTGGAGGATGGCCCAAGTGCTTGGGCCCTGCACCCCATGGGAGACCAGGAAAAGCACCTGGCTCCTGGCTTCGGATCAGCGCGGTGCGCCGGCCACAGTGCGCCGGCCGTGGCGGCCATTGGAGGGTGAACCAACGGCAAAGGAAGACCTTTCTGTCTGTCTCTCTCTCTCACTGTCCACTCTGCCTGTCAAAACAAAACAAAACAGAACAAAACAAAAAAACCACATCTTCTCGTTTGATTAGTTTATGGTCTTTCCTTTTCTCAGCTCCTGCTGAACTGTGGCCTCTCTGCTTTCCACTTGTTGAACTTTGTTCAGTGAACATCAAGCCTTTGACTAGAATGTCAATTAACGTGCTATCTCAAAACAAACACAACAACAACAAAGCACAGGCTGTGTCAGGAGGTGGATCTGAGCTGGGTCAGCACCTGTCCAGCTATGAAGATGATCTGTACAAAGAGGCAGCGATGTGTAATGATTCCTAACACACACGAGCCGCTGTCGCTGACGCTCCACAGCTTCACGCGTCCCTGTCCCTCAGTCCCTTCCTACACAAGAAACTCAAGCCTGCCCTTCCCCCTTTTCTCTTATGCTAAGGCCGATGCTTCCCGCATACAATTACTGCTAGGTGAAAGCTCTCAAAAGCCTAACCTTAGAGATGAATTCTGTCCACCCAGTCACATTTGCAAAAACAGATTCTAAGACACTAAGGAGGAAAAGTCCCCTCTTCACCAGCGACGAGGGGGACAGAAATGTGGCTCAAAGACCCTCCTCTGAGGAGGCGGCAGTCTGAGGGGATTACCCGGAGGCTGCTTCGTGTGTTCTGTGTGATGGGGGCTAGCGTGCACTGGCAAACGACCGCCACCCTGCTGGTTTTTATGACACGTTACCTGTGTGGGTTACCTGTGCGGTTTGTCTTTTTGGCCTGTCACCCTGCACCTGGGATCAGCACTCCACATCTGGAAGGCACCCAGTGATTCCTGCAGTGCGCAAAACTAGGAAACCTAATTCTGCAAGGCTGCCTCCCGTAACTGTTCGTTGCCATGGATCCCTGTCAAGTGCTGTACCTCTAATCCGCTAGCGCGGGAGACGCCAGCGTCAGAGGACGACAGGAGTCCGCCCCCGCCCCCTTTCCCGCGCTCCAGGGATGACCGGGTCGTGGCTGCAGGGTCTCAGCAGCAGCATTGAATTTTGCAGAAACACACACACAGGCACTGAGAGGGGGAGCGGAGGCCACAGTGCTGGCAGTGACCCCCTCGGGGTGGCACAGCCAGGGGCGGGCAACTCTGACCTCTCCCTCACGAGGCCCGCAGAGACTGCGTGTTAGAAGAGAGGACCAAATTAAACACCACTCCCAGGGACAAAGGGGCCTTAGCGGTGCGGGAGCTGACCGGCTCTGGTCATCACGCAGGGATGCCTGAGCCCTGTGGCAGGCAGCACTCCTATCCCGCTGAGATGTCCGTGGGGAGTCCCCGCACCGTGGCCCTGAGCTTCCTGGAGACGGGGAACTAAGCCTGCAGACGGCACGGAGTTGTTGACACGGGGAAGATTATTCTCAGCTATCCAGCAGCCTGGGGTAACTGTGACGGTCCTTCAAGTCAGAGGAGGGGGGACAGAGAGGAAGCGGGGACCACGGAAGCAGGGTCTGGGCGACGTGAGGGGCAAGGACTCGACTCTGCCACGTGAAGACGGTGGAAAGAAGTCAGGAGCCGTGGACACTGGAAGCTTCTAGAAGTTGGGCAAGGCAGAAAACAGCCACGCAGGAGCACCTCGTGCCAGCCAGCCCGTGGCACGCTGACAAGCCTGGGGGGCTGGGACACGAGCTCTGGGTCTGAAGCCACCACACCTCCCTGCCCTGGGGTGTCCCCCACTGTCTCAGCAGCAGGCCTGGGTGTGACAGGAGCCGGGCGGCTGCAGACTCCCAGGGGATGCAATGTGGTGTCCTGGCCCAATGCCTGTCCCCAGCGGGGTCGTGAGGGGCTTCAGGAATGGGGTTACCGTCCTTATGAAAAAGACCCCCCAGAGCTCTGTCTTCCTCCCGCCTTCTGAGGACAAAGCAAGGGGGCACTCAGGGGGCAGTGCTGCCGCCCCAGCCCGGAGCCGCTGTGATGGTGGCCAGGTCTGCGGGACAGCCCTTGTTGGGGCAGCCTTGGCCAGCCCGTGCCAAGGCGGGCACAAGCCGGGGAGCGGTCAGGGAGGCCGGGCGGCTGGAGGTGATTCTAGGAGGAGTCCCGCCCGCGTCCTGCTCAGGAGGCTCCCGCACGTGCACCGCAACCGGGCGTACCACGCGCACGCCGTGGCTTTCCAGGAATCAGCGTGGCGTGAGCAGCCACTGCACTTTCTAAGCCGGCCGGCGCCACTGAACGCCGCGCCACGGCACTCTGCGTCCACAACTTCCGAGGGGCACAGCGCAGCTCCTCAGGAACCGAACCGCACGCGTGGCCACGGCGCCCCGCGGGAAATCCTACCCGGGGTCCACGGAAGCGCCCGGGGCGTGGCCCGCTCAGGAGCCCGCGGGCACGCGGCGGGACGGCCCCCGGTGCGGGGTCCACGGGTGCCACCCTCACCACAGCTCCCACTCCGCAACCGAAGCTCGCGGAGTCCGCGTCTGCGGAAACTGTCACGCCACGCCGCCAAGCGTGCCGCCCATCCCCCTCGGCATGCAGGACGTGGGGTGCACACCTGGCCCACCGCCTACCTGCCGCTGTCACCCCAAGACCGCGTCTTTGTTCCTCGGATGCCGCCCGCGGCCACCGCACTCCGCTCCGGCCACTCACGCGGTTACTCCCCCAGCAGACGGCCACCCGCACCGGCCACGGCCACGCGAGCCTGCGCGTGTACCTGCTGGAGTGGGTGCACACCGGCCGGCAGGCGCCTCTCCCGCGCCAGCGGACGCGTCACGGCCACACACGCGCCGTCCTCTGCGCGGCCCTGGCAACAGCGGCGCCCGCACACGCACGCGCACGTGCGTCACCGCCCCCCGGGCAGATCCCCGCGCGTCACTCGCGCCCTCCCACGCAGGTGCGTCACACGTG